AGCTCGGACAATTTCGTTCAAATTCTCCTGAAGACTACGAAGCGCTAGCCCCTTCCCCTGCAGCTCTTTGGCCAGGCTATCGGCCTACCAGAGTCACAAGGATGGAGTGAATGGACCAAGGAGACAAACAGGAACGGGAAGGGGAAAACAAAACAGAAAACACGTATGAGAAGCCCATGACCCAACACAACCCTGAAGAACAGAGGCGTCAGGGGAGCGTGATTGCCTGAAGCTCACGAAGCCAAGGCCTTGGCGCCGGCAGTTCTGGTGATGACTGTCTAGTGGTTATTGAAAACGGCCCAAACAGAGGCGTTTTCTAGACCTAACTTTGGCGTGACCAGAAAATAAGAAAGCCTATGAGAAAGACTGACTTTCCAGGGGCGGGGAGACGGCACAAAGGGCGGGGAGACGGCACACCAGGCCCGAGTTGGAACTGCAGTTGGAACTGCAGCACCACTGGGCGAGACTGAGATCGGTCCACAAGCTGAAAAGCCCCACTACTGCTGGGCGGGAGGACCCCAGAGCCCAGAGCATGGCTTGGCGAGGAAGAAGGAAGTAAGCAAGGGAGGAGGGAAGCTAAGGATAGGAAGGAGGGAGGGAGGAAACAGGGAAGAAAGGGAAAGGGAGGGGAGGGAGGGAATAAAAGGTTATCTTTTTTTTTCCTTTTGGCTTTTTCGGTCACCCTAAATGCTCAGGAATTTCTCCTTGGCAGTAACCCGGCCAGCTCACCGAGAGTATCTCGCCTGCACAGCAAGCCTGCCAAGCTCCCTGTGATGTATTCGATATGACAAACACAGTAACAAGTGTCACAATGGAGACGTTACTGGGTCCGCTCGAGCTAATCGATAAACAACGGGAGGGTAGAGACAATGACAGGGACCCTATGGGATGATGGAGATCGAACCCACGTGGGCCGCGTGCAAGGCAAACGCCCTTCCCACTGTACTATCACTCCGGCCCCCAAGATTTACTTTCTTGTCATTTCTTTTCTGTGACTTTAAAAGTTCGAGGGGTTTCAATATGAAATTTAAAATGAGGAACCTCTAATCCACTAGACAGCAGTCACCCGAACTTGACGTTTGTTTTATCTTGATGCGAACAAGTGGGTCAGCTATCCCCTGCTCTGTCCTAGGAATTGATTCCATTTGTTTCAGCCGGTGTTTCTGGAATGCCAGCCAAGGAGTCCTGAGTCCTGAAGGGAACTCCCAGGGATCTCGGGGCCCTTCTGTTATGTCTGTCAGTCCTGTCTACAAAACCCACAGCCCTTCCATCTTGGCCAACAGAGAAGTTTCTCCAACAAAGTGCCCAGCGTGGGGGTAGCAGGGGGGGGGGGGTGAGGGCCCGTCCCTGCCACCACAATCCTATAGGAGGAAAAGGGCATCTCTCGGGGCTCCTTGGTGAGAACTGCAGCTTCCTCGGCTTGGCCCAGATCTCACTGTCTCGTCCTTCCCCAGGGTCAGGGCTACCATGAGAGTCCATGCCTGTGGCCAGCAGGGGGCCATGCTGGAAGGCGGACTTGGCCCAAGCACCTGTTAGAGGCTGAAAGGGATGAAATCTCTGCAGGGCTGCGCGGGGGCTTGTGCTGCAGGGAGGGAGGGGCTGGCAATGAGAAATACCAAGATGGGCCACATCACCAGCCTTGAGGGAGCTCAGAGGCTCAGAGACATCGAGCACCAGCTGGGAACTGAGGAGCCTCGGGGAGAGGAGGGCAAAGCCCGTCACACGAGCAGGTGGTCAGCAAGGTCAGGGAAAGACCCTCGCGGCCTGACTCGAGCCCAAGTGTCTGGGCGAACTCGGCGAGTATGCAGCGAGCCCAAGAGGTGGGGGGCAGAGGTTTGCTCTGAGGGCTCCTATCTTGTTTTCTCACTGGCCTCGTGAAGAATTCTCTGTTTCAGAAAGACCCCAGACGGGCCCGATTAGCCGGGGCCAAGGCTAGCACGGCATCCGGGTGCTGGGGACCAATGACAGCCCCAGAATCATGCCGACACCTTCTCAGTCCCCTCAGAGGGAACCGCACGGGACGTGACCGGGAGACCTGTCAGCACCAAGCCGGAACACGGCGGCGAGCAGACTGACACACAGCATGCAGGGAGCGAGCGTGGAAGTGGGCGAAGGCGCCCGAGTACCAACCTGCAGCTCTCGGCCCGCTTTGCATTCTCTAACTCCTGAATCTGCCGCTCAGCCACCTGGAGCTGCTGCCTGAGCTTCTCCATTCCCAATTGACCTTCGGAACTGGCCTTCCAGAGCCCATCGAGCTGCAAGAGCTTCTGCTGGCTGGCCTCCAGCTGTGCCGTGGCATTGGCCAGGGCCTGGGCTTGCTGACTACACACGGCCCGCAACCCGTCCAGGTGCTTTACCTTCGTCTCCGCCTCCTGCAGCTTGTTCAGGGCGTCCTCCATCTCCACCAGGTGCTGGTCCTCGATCTGCTCGAGCTTGGCCCGTGCAGCCTCCAGGCTGTTCTTCTGCTCCTGGGCCGTCCTGAACAGCCGTGACCTGAGTGTCTTCAGCTCAGAGGCATGGGCTGCACGCTCAGCCGCCTGCTGGGCCTTCAGGCTCTCCACCTCCTGCTGGTACTCGAACTGTAGCCTCTCGATGTGCATCTTGAGCTCGGCCAGCTCGGCCGCCTCGGCGCCCACGCCCTGGCTCACGCATGCCTTCGGCTCGCCCATGACCTGTTGGTGCGGGGCGATGGCCGTCTCCAGCTTGGACTTCCTCAGGGCGATCACATCCGCGTTCTCCTTGTTGGCATGGTCCAGCTTGGTCCTCAGGCACTCGTTCTCCTTGGCGAGCTTCTCAGAGGCCACCTGCAGGGACTTCACCTCCTTCTAGTGGGAAAACAAAATTTCCATGAACTTAAAACAGGAAGGAAAAGAAGCAGAAATAGAAATTTTTCTTTTCCAAACTGACTCTTTGCTTCTTCTTGTTTTAAGGAAAAGCTTCTAAAAAATGGGGTTCTAAAGGATTTGATTTGTGCTGCTCGACTGAAAATCAAAGCTGAGGCAAATGCATAGACCCGAGTGTCAGAACGAGAGAAAAACGCTCATCAAGAGCAGCCTCCAGCCCCAAGGAGCAGAGATGTGTCAGCCGGGCCCTGCCAGGTGCATGACCCCAGGTATCCATGTCTGATTCGGAGTCTCCAGCAGAAGTGGTCGCCGGCCAGGCCATCCCGCATCCTTGCCTGCACCCTGCAAGCCTCCGGGACCTGCCCGGGCTTTACCTCCAGGTCGCCTTTGGTGATGGACTCCTCCTCGACTCGGAACTGGAGGTCGTCCACTTTCCTGTGGGGGAGAGGGAGACGTTGTGAGGGGCGTCACTGCTGCCCCCCATGAGGGCCACCATCTTGTAGATGCGCCTGACCCAGCCCCCGGCTCCACACACAGGAGGGCTGAGAGAGTCGGGGAGGGCCAGAGCGAGAGTACAGCAGGCAGGGCGTTTGTCTTGCACGTGGCCGACCCGGGTTCAATTCCCAGCATACCACTGTGGACCCCGGAGCAATGCCTGGAGTAATTCCTGAGTGCCGAGGCAGGAGTAACCCCTGAGCATCGCTGGGTTGACCCAAAAAGAAAAAAAAGAAAGTCAGCGAGTCCCCTCAGCTTCGAGCACTGGGTGGGACCCGCAGGCTACAGGAGGAAGTTAGGCCGAGCCAACACCAGGTGCAGTGTCATATCAACCCTTTCTGCCTCGCAGCTAACAGAGGTGGTTAAAAACTGACCCAAGGCGCCTGCCAGTCCCTCCCAGCCAGCACCTGTCTCCACATTGGGACAACAACTGAGCCCCTGGGGGAGAAGCAGCCAATGACTCGGGGGCGGGGAGCGGGGGGCGGGGCTCCCAGTGACTGTCGAGTCAGCATGTGGAGCTGAGGGACTGAGCCAGGCACTGGCAGTGCCCCTGGGCACCACACTGCCGGGAGCCCTTCTGAAAAGGCGGTCTCGGCCAGCACCCCGTGTCCATCTGTCTGCAGCCAGGCCTCAGCCCCGCGTCCGTCTGTCTGCAGCCTGGCCTGAGCCCCATGTCTGTCTGTCTACACCCCGGCCTGAGCACCACGTCCGTCTGTCTGCAGCCTAGCCTGAGCCCTGTCTGTCTGCTGTCGTGCCCCATGAGTACTGTGGGTTTCCTCCCGCCTGGGACTTAACCACAGGGACTCCCACAGGGCCCCACTGGGTTAGGACAGTTCCTTGCCACCCAGCACAGGCCTCCTGAATACCAGGCCAGGTGGACACAGCAGGGAGGGCCGGGGGTGGCTTGGCTCCACTGAGCTCCCCCCCCAGCCCTCCCGCTGAGGCCGCGCTCAGGACTGGGCACCCGTTGGTTTCTGGTTCTCACAGCCCTGGAAGGCCAGGAGTGCCCCACCCGAGGGAGCCCCCAGCTCCGGGCACGGCCTCACCTCTTCTCCTCCTCCAGCTGGTTCAGCAGCTCCACCTTCTCCCAGTCGGTCGCTTCCAGCATGGCCCGCAGCTCGTCGTTCTTGGCCTCCAGCTCCAGGACGTGCTGTAGAGGCAACGGCGCGTGAGTGGCCTCGCCCGCCCCCAACAGCCCTATGTGGGCTGGCATCACCACCTGTCACCACGGCAAGCTGAATGCATCTCCCACCTAAGCTACGGCATTTCTGGAAGGCCAGAGGGGAACCACACCACGAAAGCACCGGCGCGGACAACTCGGCACTCCCTAAACCCCCACAGGGCGAGCAGAAGGCGCATGCGATCAAACCACGCGCCGGACGCCACAGCAACGACGGCAGACGGGGACCCACGGCCTCTGCCTGCACCGCCTGCACCAAGCTCGCGCCCAGCCTCTACCGCAGGCGTCTCTCGGCCCCGGCACTGCCGTCTGCACAGACGTCACCTGGTCGTGCCCGTTCCGGCCAGGGCCAGCTCCTGCTCTATCTCCCCCATGTGGCTCGTGGCCTTGGCCACCTCTGCCCGCTCTAGGTCCCGCTCAGGCCAGCAGCTTCTCAATGTGCTGCTGCTTCTCCTTCAGCGCCTCCTGGAGGGCGGTGGTGCCAGAGATCTTGTGGGCGTAGCGGGAGGAGGTTTCCGGCAACTGCAAAGGAAAAAGAGACGTGAAGGGGATGGGGCCGGCCGACACGGGCATGCTCGCGGTGATCCTCGGCAAAGCACATGGAGCAGTGCTGCATCCTTGCATATGGGCCAGCGACTCTCAGCAGAAATGTCATGAAACCTTCCCGAAGATCCTTGGACGGGACCTGGGCTCCACTGACCTCGGGCCTCGTGGGAATCCAGAGACTCTTCTGCAGAGCCGGAGGCAGCCCCCTCCACAGCCCGCTCTGGCCTGAGCTTCCTTAAGGATGAGCCCTTGGCTTGAGCTTGAGGCCAGCTCCAGCATCTTCAGCCTTGCAGGTCCGTCAGGGTCTCCCTGGGCAGCCTGTCCCTTCTCTCTTCCTCTTCCTTCCAGCTCACCTCGCTCTCCCGGGCACCCGCCCCATGCCTGAATAGCAGTAACCAGAGACTCTTGTCTCTGGGAATGGCCCCGTGCCCCCGGGGGTCACTGGGTGTGACCCTATAAAAGACCCCTGTGCGATCTGCCTTCGAAAATGGGAGATGAGAGGCTAGAATGATAAAGTTGCGGGAAAGGAGCTGGCCTTGCACGCCGCTGACCCGAGCTGGATAACAGGTACCCACCCCATAGGGTCCCGAGCCCACCAGGAGTGACTCCTGAGTGCAGAGTCCATAGTAAGTCCTGAGTATTGCTGGGGCATGGCCAAAGTCCAGGGAAAAAAAAGGAAAAAGTGGTTCGAATGTGTGAGGGCTCATGCCCAGCGAGCAGGACAGCAAGGGCAGCTCAGGGAAAGACCAAGCACAAAGGGAAGGAGAGAAGAGGCAAAGACAGTGAGGAGGGGAGGGGAGTGGGCTGAAAGGCTGCGGGGACCGGGGGTCCTGTCCGTTCTATCCTGGGCTCGTGGTCACTCATGGTCTCTCTGCAGACCCAGATCCCTCTCTGCACAACGGCCCCTGCAGGAGGGGATAAGGCGGGACCTGATCTTCATTCTTCGGGCACATGGTGGCGGGGGCTGCAGCGGCGATGGCCAGGACTTCCGCTCCTTCTGCCCGGCCATCCCTGTTCCATCGCCCTGCTGCGGTCCAGCCGCAGGTTCTCTTGCCGCTTCCCCGCATCATCTGAGCTGCTGCCAAACGCCTCCGACGGGCCCAGCAGGGCCCAGGCTGTCCAATGCTGCTTTGCCTGCTGGGAGCTCTCGAGCCACCTAATTCTGTCCGGAGAGCGGGATCATCCTTGCCTGTGCGTAAGGACCTGGCCGTGATTTCCCGATACACTTAAAGTATATCTGATCCGATTAAATGCCCTCCCGAGGGCCAAAGAGTCTGTTGGGGGGGTGGGGGAAGGTGCTTGCAGAGGTTCAAGATCCAGCACCATCAGGAGTGACCCCACCCCCCAAGCAGAGAGCCAGGAATAAGCCCTGAGCACCCCTGGGTGTGGCCCCAAAACCAAATAATAACTAAAATTTCTAGGAGCACACGAGCTCTCGGGCCAGCCATGTGCAGTGCTCTCGGGAACTGCAGTCAACTCGGATTTCAAGGGGTGGCTGGGAAGAGCTTGCCAGCCTTGGGGGTCTAACAGCAAGACCCGGGCTCAACCCCCCCTCCACCGGGAGCAGCCCCCAAGCACCATGCCTGGAGTCCCTGAGCACTGCCAGGTGAACCCCAAAGAGCAAAAATAAAAACTAAGAAAGGCGGGCGGCGGTGTTCCCTGAGCCTCCTGGCCTGAGCGGGTGGGGCAGGCCAGACGCACGCGCTTCCTGGGCCCGAGACAGCTCCCTGAGGAAACCAGCACAGGAGCGATGGGCTTCTTTCAGCCAACTATGGAGACGAGACTGTGAGGTTCAGGCGCCGGAGCAGGGAGAAAGCAGCACCCCTAGCATGGGGGGAGGCCCGTGCTGAGGGGCTGGGCAACGTCGGGGCCATGAGCTGAACTCAGGATGCTGATGCCAAAGCCTCTGCCCTGCGCGTGGTTTGTGAGGCCCCAGGCTCCATCCCAGCAAGGCCAGGCCTTCTGTGGGAGCCTGGTACCTCAGAAGAGCAACTCAGCCAACAGACGAACAGGGAGGCCTCCACAGGGCACGCACGGACCCGTGTGCATGTATGTATGCGTGCATGTATGTTCCGGTGGGCATATCAACACGCACCTGTGTGCATGCGTGCGTTGTGTTTATGCATGTATGTGCCTGTGTGTGTATACCCATAAGCCTGTGTATATACGGTATGCACTACGTGTACATGTATGAGTGACTGTGTGTATGAACGCTTGTGTGTGCACTTATGGAATTATGTTGTCGAGGTATACTTCCGTGAAGTCACACAGAATCTTTCTATATTCCTGTCATAGACGCTAACGGTGATGTTCAGTTTAGGAGTGAGCTCCACCCTGCATAAAGATATGCAAGGCAGGGGCCAAAGAGCTGGAGAGCGAAGCCCCAGCTCTGCCCAGGCTCAATCCCGGAGGCCCGCCAGGAATAATCCCGAGCACAGAGGTGGGAGAAAGCCCTGAGGTCTGCCAAGTGTGACCCCAAAACAGAACAAAACAAGATAGCGGGAGGAGGCTGGAGATACGGCTCAGGCGTAGGGCTCTTGCTTGGAGGTGGGAGGCCCCGGCACAACCCCAGCACTGCAATTGGCCCCTTGAAGCACTGTAGGGTGTGGTCCACAGTCAAGCAGAAAAACAAAACCAAATTCCACAAATGGGCTGGCTCGCGAGGGAAGGAGAGGGGCTTCTGAGTCTGCTCCCCTCCTAAATGGTGAGGCGAAGGGAAGGAGGAGTCGGACTTGAGGATGTAGGTGGGGCAGGGAAACCTGGTGGTGTTCGAGCAAGACAGGACTGGCCCTAGGCCTGTGCCCACGGCGCGTGGCCTCCTGGCTCCCGTTCCCATGTCATCTGTTTTGTATCTTCCGTTGCACACACACTCACTCCCTCCTCTTCCGCATCGAGGGTCAATGCACGGAGCAGAGGCGGCGGCAGGAAGCGCAGCCCCCAGCAAAGCCAACCCCCTGGGACACCCTCTCCATTGTCGGCCCATTTTCCTGTGGACAATATCTCAGGGCACCCTTGCATATTCAGACACACTTTAGTGTTTATGACTCAGATAGACGTGAGAGGAGAAGCCACGAGGCCCCAGCTTTGACTTGTGGCCCCGCAATGGACAGAAGTCCAGGCCACTCTGCATGTCGGACAGGGGTGCAGAGGGACAGGAGGGAGCAGGGAGAGACGGAGAGAGCAAAGAAGCAAGACAAAGTGCCAAGCATTCCCCAGAGTCTCTGGGCCCTGCTCTGACCCTCAGGAGCCCCCTTCAGCTACCCCACTTCATCCCTAAGGCGGCCTGAGACCAGAGAGGAACCCTGAGCACCCAAGGAAAGGCCCTTCCCTGCTCCTGTCACCGGTGGTGGCTGGGAAACCAATTGCCTGCCACCCGGAGCTGCTCAGCCCACGTGCTCCTGCTCCGCCTCTCGCCCCTGGGGCTGTGGGAGTCTGTGGGGGCCCGAGCACCCCGCAGTGGTTGGGGGCTGCTTACTAGTCCCGTGCGGCTAGGCCTGCTGCTCACGGATGAGGCCCCGGAGCTGACAGAGCTGAGCGACGAGGCCGAAGGACTGCGCTTCAGGCTGGCGGGGGTGGTGGCCATCACACGCCTCACGGCGGCCACCTTGCCCTTGGCCGGCGTGGTGGACGGGAAGCCAATCTTGGTGACTTTGTGAATGGGAGCAAACAAGCCATACTTGGGCTGACACTGGAAGTACCTGCGGACAACGAGGAGGGGGGGACAAAAACACCTTCGGCAAGAGACACAAGCGCCGACCCAGAAGTCCACTGAGTCCCACAGTCTCACACCCCCACAAACGAACACACTCCCACAGCCCCACATGCCCACACACTCACACCCCAACAAACACACTCACACACGCACCCCAAACAACACTCCCACACTCTCACACTCCCACCCCAACAAACACACTCACACTCACACCCTAACCAACACTCCCACACTTCCACACTCTCACAGCCCAACAAACACACTCACACCCCAACCAACACTCCCATACTCTCACACTCCCACCCCATCAAACACACACACTCACACCCCAACAAACACTCCCACATGTCCACAGCCCCACACTCACACACACTCACTCCCCAGAAACACTCATACTCACACCCAAACAAACACACACTCACACTCGCACCCCAACAACACTCCCACACCAACACACTCACACCCCAACCAATACTCCCACACACCCACAGCCCCACAGTCACACACACGCACACCCCAACCAACACTTGCACGCTCTCAAACCAACACTGACACGCTCTCATTCCCCCGCAAACACGCTCACACCCCCACCAACACTCTCATGCCCACGACCCCACCAACACTCTCACAGCCCCACACTCACACGCTCACATACACACTCCCTCATACATTCACACCCACACTCGCTTGCATGCCGCCCACCCCCACCACGCAAACCAAGGGCGATTCCAAGCAGCCTCCCCGGCATCTGAAGGGCGACAGCAGGCCCGGGGGGTTCCTGCGGCCCGAGCACAGCTGCATGTGGGGGCCCCAGGCTGTCCCCACATCCCTGCAGGGTCCCCGAGTGCCACCGGAAGTGGCACCGCCTAAGAACCAAGTGAAGTGGCCTGCAGTCCCCTCAGCGCCTCCCGGGCACCGTGCATTGCCCCAGGCTGTCTGGGAGGGCAGGGGGACCCACCTCGTTCCGGCCACGGCACCATCGTTCTTGCCCAGTGGCTTGTCCAGCTCTACGCCGCACCAATCCCCCTTGGCGAAGTCCGTCTCCCCGAGGAAGCGCACCACACCGGCCTCCATGCCTCCCACCTGCCGGAGGGATGGAGGGACGTGGGTCAGGCACCCTGGACTGCGCACAGCGCCCCCACCCCCGCAAACGAACATTCTGGCTTCAGAGTCGGGATTTCCTGAAGAAACCCCAAAGGTTAAGGTGCCATTTCCCCCCACAACCCCTACAGGGTGAGCAGACGCTGCTGCTCAGTGTCCATGCAAGGCAGCGGCATTCACACCCACTCGCTGTCACCGGTGGCCTGGCTGACCACACCCCCGGGAATCTCTGACCCAGGCCAGCCACCTAGTGTGGCGAGGGGGTCGCTGCCCCTTGGGTGTGGGAGCGGAGCACTGGCAACCCCACCGCTGGAGAAAAATTAAGCCAGAAACCAGCTAAAGGAAAATGACTGTTCTCGTATCTTAGCAGAGTTCGATCTTCCAGTTCTCCTTCACTATGCCTTGGCTTGACGCTTGGCTCCCGGGACACAGAGCAAAACAGAGTCACAGCGCTGGACACTGACAGGAATGCTGACAAACAGGGCTGGAGCACCGGGGGAAGGGTGCTTTGTGTGCGACCACCCTGTGACGCCCCAAGCAAAAACATCGAAAACCAGAGAAATAGAACCGATTTCCAACTTTGTTCATTGGTTTGTTTTTGAGTCACAGTCAGAGTGCTCGGGGCTTACTCTTGGCTTGGTGCTCAGGGATCACTCCGGGATGTGCTTGGGGGACAGTACATGGGACCAAGACTTAAACCCCGGGTCAGAGGCGTGCAAAGCATGACCCCTCCCCACGGCATGACCCCTCCACCCTGTTTTGGCTAAACTGGTAAAACTGGCAGCATCCCCGCACGCATCCATCATGCTGGAAACTGCAGGACCAGGCATCCCGGCTGCTCGTGCTTCCACCCAAACTGCGAGTCTGGAGGAGCTGATGGACCAGACAGGCGAATGGACAGCCACCTGCGACCGCTGCCCTCGGCACTCACCAGCACCCAGTCCCCGAGCTTCAGCTCCCGCTCGGCTTTCTTGAGGGAGCCGGCCTCAGAAAGGTTGGAGATGGATTCGCTGGCCATCCTGGTCAGGCTGCTGATGTGAGGGGTGGCCGGTGATTCCTTCGCGGGGGGCTGGGGCACCTTCTGGGTGCCGGCAGGGACCGGGAAGGCCGACAGGGGCGGTGTGGCCCAGGCGGCAGGCGCTGGCTGCTGGTCGTTGGTCTCATCGTGGGCCTGCAAGCTCCTACTCAGCTTGGACGGCCGGGTGAAGATGCCCTTCAGCGGCTCGCACTGGAAGTAGCGCACACCCGCCACCGAGCCGTCGTTCTTGCCCATGGGCTCGTCCAAGACAATCCCGGCCCACTGACCAGGGGCAAACTGGGTCTCCCCGAGGAACTGAATGAATCCAGGCTTGTTCCCGTTCACCCAGACTCGTTCCCCGACCTGAAAGTCGCCCACAAACTCCTCCTGCATCTCCGAGGAGGGGGCGCTGGGGGTTTTCTCCCCAGGCATGGTCTTCTCAATGGGAGCAGCCGCTGGAACAACAGAAAGGGTCAGAAGGGTCAGAAGGGACAGGAAGGGCCTGTCCAGGTCCAGTTAAAGTGTGGTTGGGGGGAGGGACACCCAGCAGTGCTCGGGGCTACTCCTAGCCAATGACGGGGGCTGCTTGTGGCGAAGCCTGGCCAGGCCTGCCGTGAAGCGGACGTGCTCACCTACTGCAGCATCCCAGGCCGCAGTCATACTTTGGGCAGCTCAGGGGAAATCTTTGGACACACCCCGTGATGCTACAGACCAAGCCAGGTGAAAGCTCGAACCCAGTGTCTTATTTCTGCTGTGTCCACTGGCCCATCTTCTTTTTCTTTTTTGGGGGGGGAGCACCCTAGCCAGTGCTCAGGGCCTATTTCTGGTTCTCCGCTCAGGGTCACTCATGGTGAGGTTGAGGGTGGAGAGTCACATGGGGTGCCAGTTGCCCTCCCCACTGTACTGTGGCTTTGGCCGGCAATGAGGCCCTCTAGTCCAGGTGAGTCCACCTCCCTAAGCCTGTCCCCAAGCCCGGGCAAGGAAGCTAGCAGTTAGGAGGGAGCGTGTTGGTCGCCTCAGCTGTCACCGGTTGCCGTGACACTAAACTCACAGAACGTGACACTCGTGTGTGAGAGCTGTGCCCAGAGCCACGAACGTGTCTACAGCTCAGGGAGCCCTTCCCGGGCGAGGAATCGGGATGGGGTTCCCGGGTGGGAATGAGTCTCCGTTGGCCTGGGCTGAGCGCACTTACCGGCCGAGGGTGCCTTCAGGGCCCAGCTCCCATGCTTGAGGATCTTGGTGGGGGCCTTCAGCCCGCTGGGCCTCAGCAGACTCATGGTCAGGCGGTCAGACGCTGACGCGGCCACTACCAGGCCCCGACCATCGAGCCCACTGTGGGGCCTTCTGAGGCACACTCGTTCTCAGGACTAAATCTCTGAAGAGCAGAGGAGAGAGTCTGTCTCAGGCGAGCGACCACAGCAGCTTCCGGAGCCCAGAGAGCTGCCAGTCTGGCACTCACCACCCCGAGTGTGACCCCCAGCCTCCCGCACAGCCCCCTGGGCCCACCAAGTGTCATTCCTGCGCAAAAACTCAATCCAAAACAGACAAACAAACAACTGCAGATTCAGGGCCAGAGAGCAGAGGGGACAGGTACTTGCCCTGCAGGCAGCTGACCCTCACGCCCTCCCTGCCATCACTCCCACCACCAAACACATTCAGGAGCCAGAAATCATCCCTGAGCACTGAGAGTGTCACTGACCACCTCCCCGTCCAGACACTGACGAGCCGGCAGGCGACTCAGCAGTGATGGCTGGTCTTGTGTGTGTGTGTGCGCGTATGTGTATGTGTGATAGGCCCGGGGTTACACACAGAAGCTAAGGCAAGCAACAGGCACACTTTTTTCGATGGGCTGAGAACTGCCAGGGAAATGGGCCCAGCAAGACCGCGCCATGGGGGGCTGGAGAGCGATAGCACAGTGGGAAGGGCATTTGCCTTGCACGCGGCCGACCCAGGTTCGATTCCCAGCATCCCATATGGTCCTCCAAGCACTGCCAGGAGTGATTCCCGAGTGCAGACCCAGGATTAAACCCTGTGCATCACCAGGTGTGACCCAAAAAGAAAAACAAAGGGGAGCAAAGGAGTTTTCGGCGTTTCCTTCATTCCTTGTAACGCTGCCCAGGTTGGATAACCACAAGCCAGTATTAACTCCATTTCTTAACCCACAGAACTGAGGCAGACAGGTAGATGGGGGAAGCGTCCCCATGGCAATGGAACTCCGAGAAAGTGAACAAAAGCTTCATGGCCACCAAAAGACCACCTGAGGGCACGGGACCCAAGTTCTGGTCAAAATTAACCCACATTAGGAAGCCCAGAGCAGGCTGGATCCCCCGAGGGAATAGGAACAAAGGCCAGGAAAGGAATTTCTAAGAGAACCATGGACCACTCAACTCTACCCCCTTGGCAACCACCCTAGCAATGGACTCTAGGTAGCTAGAAACTCCCACCAGGGGCAGCCTGGGGAAATCCCTAGATTAGCCACCTTGAACCAAGGGAGGGCGCTCATGTGTGCCCGAGCCCAGGTACTGCTCTTGCCTATGAGGTCCATCATGTCACGGGCTTCTCCCCTCCTGAGGTGTGGACTTTCGAACTGAATGCAACCTAGCAACATAGCATGTTCAGTGGCTTTCTGCACCTCTGGAGAAGCCGCACTCTCTCTCGAGCGTGTTACTCCCTCCCTCCTTCCCCTTCCTAAAGGCCTCCAAATATAATGTTTCTGCTTCATGCTCATCTCCTGAAATGCTTTTCTGCGAGTAGGACAAAGGCCCGGGGGCCTGAGGAGTCGAGGATCGACTGCCTTTCCCTGAAAAGGGCAATCCCTCCCTCCGGCCCAAGACCCCGGGAAGGCCTAGTGGGCGTCGTGGGGCTGGCGGGGCTCATCGCGCTCAGCAGTGCCAGCGCTTCAGCCAGTCCCGGGGGAGTGACATCTTCTCCTCTGCTTCTCATCAGCCCCCGATGAGGGCCCACTGACTTCAGAGTCATTCCATATTTCAATAGAGAAGTCCGCAAGGGGCAGAGAGGCAGGACAGTGGGGAGGGCACTTGCCTTATATCCAGTTGTCCGGGGCTCGATCTCCGTCAGCACAGGGACGTTAGCCGGCCAGGGTCACCCCTGGGCACAGCCACGTATGGCCACCCCACCCCACCCCACCCCCAGCCCACCCCCAAAAATATATATATAACTAGTAAAAAACCTTAAACTAACTAAAGATTCAAAACTATCATACACTAAAGAACTGTTAGAGAAAAAAGCCGCCCGCACGCGGGCAGAAAGCCCAGAGGCTCAGATTCACCTGTGTCACACTGCACTCGCAGCTTCAGTACTGAGCTCTGCCAAACAGGCTCGTGCCAGTCTCGTGGAGAGACTGAAAATGGCAGTTGGAGTCTAGAATTTTCTGAGGTAGAACTAGAATTCAGCAAGGAGGAGGGCATCATGGGCCATTCTTAAAGGGGCAGGCGCCACCCTTCGTGATGTCAGTGTGTGGTTGAGGCTCCGGAGGGCTGCCCGGCAGACGTCAGCACTACATGGCCAACGAGCCTCTGGTCCCTGCGGGGCCCAGTTCTGGATCCCCGGGCCCTGTGAAAGTGGTTTCAGAAAACTTTTGACAAATGTTTGTCAGTTACAGATCTCCAACTGAGGTCATTCAGCATCCCCCGAGTGGGACCTGGACCCAGTGACCCTGCCCAGGGCCCTCCTCAGGAGCCGGGCCAGGAAATCTGTGAGCCGGGGGGGGGGGGGGGGCGGGCGGGTGGACAGAGCGACAGGGCAGAGGCCCTGAGCCCGACCCTGACAGCCCTGCTCTCTGTGACCCCAGTGCTGTGAGCAACACTGGCAGCACCGTGGCCAGGGAGTGGCCCAGCCCACTAAGGCCTGAGAGATGTACAGAGGAGTATGGCCTGGCCTGCTCCAGATGGGACACAAGCTGAATGAGTGCGGGTCCCCTCGAGGATGAGTGAGCGGGAACCGGGGAGTGGGGGGGAGGTGGGGAGTGCGGAGTGACCTAACCTGGGGCCTGAGGACGAGACATCTGATGGTGCTCAGGGCTGACTCTGATCCAGTCATGGGAGCTCATCCTGGCAGGACCTGGGTGGGGAGGGATGTACAGGGTGGGGTGGGGTCAGCCACAGGCAAGGCAGGCTCCTTGGCCCTGGGCTACCCTTCCGGGCAAGGATACCTATTTTCTTTCTTTCCTTTTGTTTTTTGGGACACTCGGCAGTGCTCAGGGTTACTCCTGCGTCTGCACTCGGGAATCACTCCTGGCGCTGCTCAGGGGACCTATGGGGTCAGCCATGCACCAGGCAAGCGCCAGTCTTCATGTCAAGGTGCCCACGAAACACAGTGTGCAACAAGGGACTCTACAGAGAACGTCAGGGCCAGCAAACGCTACGTGGCAATCAATCAATTCTGAAAAAACACAAAAAGATGCAAAAGGAGGGACTGGAGTGAGAGCACAGTGGGGAGGGGTTTGCCTTGCTCACAGCTGACCAAGATTCAATCACCAGTCCTGAACACTGCCAGGAGTAATTCCTGAGTGCCACATCTGGCGCTGCGAGGCTGAGCCAGGGGAGGGCCGTCAGGGTGAAATCAGCACTCGAGTCACACAGGGTTCCGTCATTCAGGAGATGGCATGAATGCGTGCGTTTATTCAGAGCATAAGTACAGACTTAAGTATGTTTCCACAGCCTACCCAAAAGAAGGAAAGGGGATGGGACATGGGAAAGTGGATGGGACAATGAGCAGAGCCATGCACAGTTGGCCAGCCACCTGGTGACCCTTTCGGCATAATGCTATTGGTCAGAACGAACTGCTTTGATATAGCTTTGACATATCTGCAAAGATTGTGCTGTTCCTCATACATCATTTACAAATCATTTACGAGGGTGCATTTTCCCCAAACTGAAACCTCCTGTACTGGGAGGTTGCCCAGCTTTGAGCGGGACAAAGGGGGAATGAAAAATCAAGCATTCTTTTACTTGGTCAGTAGGCAACACTGAGCATCACTGAGTGTGACCCAAAAAGTCAAAAAAAAAAAAAAAGAAGAGAGAAAAACAGCGCAAAACAAAATGTGTTTGAGCCTCACTGTCTCCCTGAGACTTGAACACTCAGTGCCGTGTGTGAGCCTAGTAGAGTCTCCGGCCTGAACAAGCCCCCACCCCTCCCTGACAAAGATGCTAGCAGGCTCATGCCCTGGAACGTCCCTGCTTCACACAGGCGTGGCACATGGGTCCTGGCCTGCTAGCGGCCGGCAGTGATTCGCCAGGAAGCAGAAGTGTGAGACTAAACATGGGTCAAGTCCATTCCTTCAGCTTGGAGGGGAGGAATGTACGAGAGGGGGTTTTGAGCACTGACTCACAAGCATGAGGTCCTGAATCCAAGCCCCCGGGGTCAACCGTGCACCTGGCACAAACCTGGCAGCTCTGCTGTCCCAGCACCACGCAGGAAGGGGGGTGACCCCAGGGGGAGGGCCACCGAGAGAGGAGGGGGACACCACAGAAAGGAGGAGTGAACTCAGGGCAGGAGTTGAGGACTGCAGGGCCGGGAGCACCGGGCAGAGAGCATCCCTGGGGAACAGGAGGACACGCGGGCGCCCTTGTCACTGGCCACTCGAGGCAGTCGCACAAGCTGTGTGCAGACCCATGAGGCTTACAGGGCGCCAGGGACGGGGAAACCCCAGCAAGGATTTTTCTTTAAGTTTTGGGCCTTGGGGCCAGAAGTCTAGTACAGCGGGGAGGGCATTTGCCTTGCACACAACTGACCCGGGTTCAATCCTGGCATTCCATAGGGACCCCCGAGCACCTCCAGGAGTAAGTCCTGAGTGCAAAGCCAGGAGTGACCCCGGAGCACGTCCAGGTGTGACCCAAAAACAAAACTACAGCAGAGCAAGCAGAAGGGCACGGAAGCTCCGAGCCACGGAAACGCCGAGGTTGGTGCCCACTCGCCACCGCCCCCTGGCAGGCCAGGCCTGCTGCGATCAAGGTGCCCGAGTGTTTCCAGACAGGATCTGCCTCAGCGGCTCGGTGCGTCATCTCAGCCTATCACCCAAATCGACTGGGATTGACTCTGGTTATCTCAATGACTGGTTATCTTGGGCATCTCAGGGGCCAGCCGCCAATCCCCGTCCTCCCACCTGCCCAGGGCGGGATCAGGTGTCAGCAGCTGGGCCCTGAACACCCCACCTGCCCGTCCAAACACAACGCGAGCCCAAAGGCCAGGCTCGCCCCCAACTCGTAGGACACGACCAAGCTAGGGGCCCCGGAGAGCACTGGGCCCGAGGATGGGT